ATTTATAATTCAAGTCCTCTCGTCTTGGCTCATCAGGGAGTTGTGAATCCTCTACCTCCAATCTTTGCGGCGCGTGCTTGAGGTGCTCAGAAACATGCATCTTGATTTACTTCTCTGTGGCTGCAGAATCAAATTTCATGATCCCTCCTACACAAGCAGAAAAATATATGATTTAGATATATGCAACGGCAATCTGCAATCATTCACCAAAGGCCCCACATTTGTAAGCAAAAATATGTTTCCTTGCATCCATTACTGGATAAATACTAAGCCATCTCAGCAACTGTTAACTAACACTTAGGCTGTCTACAAAGAGGCACTAAGCAGACTGCACTTTTTTTAGAAAGCTTGCATTCTTTAATGTGTGCATTAGAATGTTGACCATTGTCAACACCTTATAATAACGTTCAGTTGTAAGTCTGTAAGTGGTTAGTTAATGAACTACTTTGAAAATATTAGTATCATTTGCTAATCATTTATGAATGTTTTGTCAATTCCGTTACAAGTCATTTACAAGTTATTAGTAAATTGTTAATGTATAAAACATGAATATACGTTTCATAAATGAAAAAAATAATAATGTATGCATCTAGCAATTAGAGGGGGAAAGTGTTGTAAATGTCTTGTATTCATGTACATATCATTTGAAACAGGTAAGTAACAGTTTTTAACAGTGTGTAAATGCATGAATAAGTCATTTACAACACTTTCTGTATCCCCTAATCTAAAGTGTATAGTAATCGCTAGTAAATGTGTTACAAAGCATGCGTAGATCTTATGCCTTATTGATTCTTGAAGTGGTAATCTACGAATGAAGTGTAAGACATTTACAAGTGATGAATAGTTCACACTTTATGCAGAAAGTGTAAATGATTAATTCATGCCTTTACACATCTATAACAGGTGTTGAACACTGTAGTGTGTACTGCAGTGTAATTGCTGACTAGTGAGGTTGTAGACAGCTGTCTTCTCTAAAACACAAGGAGTCTAACCACTAGGCACCTGACATTTATGAAACGTAATGATTAATAATTTACAAAACATGACTATTCAATTGTAAATGACTTGTAATAATTTACAAAACATACATGAAGTGTTAGCATATCACTTGCTAAACATTTATGAATGTTTTGTATATGATTAGTTCATCATCAACCACTTATAAATTACTTAAAACACTGAAATAACAGTTTGTAATAACGTTCAGTTGTATCAACCTGTTGTGCTTTGTGCAATTTACAAAAGTTAGCTTTGTGCTTGGTAGAGGGCTGCATTGGGATTGAGTACCGCCGGGTCCCACGGGAGTGTAACATCCGTTGCGGGAGCGGGCGGTAATGGTCAGAGATTCGGCGGGGTGAGGAAAATAGTCCTGCGCAGGGCTCTACTTGGAAACACATTGGACTCAATAAAAATTACTATTGAGAATAATTTTGCACAAAAAAAAAAAAAGGGATTAAAGGGATACTCCACTTTTTATGAAATAGGCTCATTGTACAACTCCCCTAAAGTTAAACAGTTGGGTTTTACCATTTTCTAAATCATTCAGCAAATTTTCTGATATTTAGAAGAGTATATCAGTAACCAGATAGTTTCTGTTCTCATTGACTTCCATAGTGGGAAAAACATATATTATGGAAGTCAATGGGACCAGAAACTGTCTGGTTACTGATACTCTTCTAAATATCAGAAAATCGTAAATAGTAAAACTCAACTGTTTAACTCTGAGGGATTTGTAAAATTAGCCAATTTCCAGACAAAGTGGAGTATCCCTGATAATACAACACATCAACTATTTGTCAGAGCAGACTGTTTTCAGTTGAAGGCTACTTCAACTTCAAAGTAATAAGGACCACCACAGGAAGTCATTCATACCCAGAGGTATAACAGTTTGTACTGACTCACCTTTATGCCATGAGAGGAGAATAATATTGAGATCTGTTACTTTTAACTTTGCTTTCAAATATGATTTAATCAGTCAGACTTTGAAGGGTTAAAGGAGTAGTTCAAATTTAAAAAAATAAATAAAAAAAGCTTTTGCTGATAATTTACTCTGCCCCATGTCATCTAAGAAATCCATGTCATTCTTTCTTCAGTCGAAAAGAAATTAAGGTTTTTGATGAAAACATTCCAGGATTTTTCTCCATATAATGGACTTTACTGGGAACCAAACGGTTCAAGGTCTAAAAGACAGTTTCAGTGCAGCTTCAAAGGGCTTTAAACGATTCCAGATGATGAATAAGGGTCTTATCAAGGACCCTTTGAGTCATGACTCGAAAAAAGATTAGTTCATTTTGATGAACGAGTTCAAACAGGAGAGTCACGAACGCTCATCACAGAACAGAGCAAGGCAAGCATTTGTGCTCATAAAACTTAAACTTTTTTATTTATTTATTAATGAGCGATCGTTTCGCTAGATAAGTCCCTTATTCATTGTCTGGTGTTTTTAAAGCCCTTTGAAGCTGAACTGAAACTCTCAGTTGGACCTTGAACCGTTCCCATTGAACTCCATTATATGGAGAAAATACTGGAATAATCCTGGAATGTTTTCAAAAACCTTAATTTCTTTTTGACTGAAAAAAGAAAGACATGGACATCTTGGATGACATGGGGGTGAGTAAATTATCAGCAAAAGCTTTCAAAAGTGAACTACTCCTTAAAGAACTCTAATGATATCTTTACCCCCTGATAGGGTTAATATTGCAAATATTCTATTGCAGATATAAATTCAAACATTTAAACATAAAGGCTAAGAGTATGAGCCATGAGTAAACTGGCCAGATATCTGTGAAAAATAACTTGCGTACCTAAAGTTGTCGACCCCCTGAATTCAGCATTTAAAAGTAAAAAGAATTTCAGTATTTATCAGTAAAAAAATACATAAAAATAAATAAATACCTTTGAGTTGGACAGTACGATGTCTCATTGGACAACTTATTTCAAAACACACCTAGAGAAATAAAATAAAAATACCAATGACCATGATATTCTGTTATCATAATAGTTAAATTCATTATTATAATTATGACCTTTATAACATGATATTTGCCATCTATTATTTAGCTGATTATTTAGCCTAAAGGCTTCTTAAGGACAATCTCACAAAAAAAAAAAAAAAAAAAACTGGGGTTAAGACTTCTTTCAAAAGCATAAATCCTACAGACCTAGAACTTTTGAACAGTAGAGTACAGTATGTTTGAGGTTTTGCTTACTAGTCGAGTTCATAGCCGTGGAGATTGTCTTGGACAGGGGGTGCAGTAACTTAGGACATCAACATGATCTTAGAAAATAACATGCAATGTGTCACAGCCAACAATGTTACATAGGATTAGAACATAGGGTTTATTACAAGGAAGCAAGCATATATAATTTCTCTTTTCTGCATTTCACCTCTCCTCTAGCTAAGAAAAGAGAAAGTATATACATAAATATTATTAAATAAATGCATATGACATTACTATCATGAATAAACAATAAATCCCCCTTTTATTGTGGACGTTTTTTCCTCATGAAATCACTTTTTTTAATCAATCTTTGTAACGTTAAGTGACGTCACTGATTAATAATACATCGCATTATTTTAGGCTAAATAAATTAGCTTAACGTTACCCATTGTAAATTACCAGCAAAAAAACTATCAAAAATTATTATCTACACAAAGATAAAACCCCAAACTTATACAAAACAGCTTCAGAGTAACTTATACCTTAGCTAACTTAGCTGCTAGCCTCTTCTGAAAACGATTGAGATGCTAACGGACTTTTTCGAAGACCCAAAATCATTTCTATAAAGTAAATATTCAACAGAAGCGTATCAATTACACACAATAAAGGTGTCAGGAACATTTTTATGTAGTATTTGTGTGATTTTGTTAACTTAACTTACCTGAACGCAGTGACAACAGCGAGAGACGCTAGTTGGTGTTTGTCAGTTGACGACGGCACGACGCTTCCTGTTTCAATTCAAACTGCTCGCGCGCTCCTGTGATTTGAATGTTCACGCGCACGCGCATCAAAGGCACGCACGCAGCATTAAGAAAAACATCTTATAATAATGTATAATGTCATTAATATTAAATCATGAAGTTAAAACTAATTTTTTTAGTTCTATGATATTTGTATACCATATTTGCTTTTGATTTTATTTTTATTGTAGAGGGGCGTATTTATATATAAATAAAAAAATAAAAATAAAACAAATATTACAAATCAATAATTTCCAGCAACTGTCAAAAGACGTCCAAATGCCGTCCAAAAAAAGTTACCCAGTTTAAGGTCAAATGTTGGACGTCAAGATGACGTCCAAGTTGGGTCATGGTTGGACGTCCAAATAACAGACCTAGTTTGGACGTCGAATAGACGTCCACAATTGGTCATGGACCGACGGACCCAATATAGACATGATCTGCACGTCTATCCGACGTCCAATGTTTAGTGGGTAGTCAGATTTTTCCATGCACTACCAATATCAACTACTCTCAGTAATCAAATTCTAGAGGTTTCTGTAAAGCTTTAGTTATCCACTGGATGCCTTTGACAGTGTTTGTCAATCAGGACTTTTTACACTGTTTGATTTCTTTTAATTATAATTTTTTCCACACTGTTCATCAATGTAAGCTAACTTGAATAGTAGTATGAATTTTTATAGTCCCTTTAAACATTCTGTTGACTATTAGTAACTATGCAACAAAATATCAACTAGCTCTCATTAGAGTATTGGTAGACTGTCTGCTTAATATCTGCCAACTCTTTATTGTGTTGGTCCTCCGACAGATATTATACTGCCTATAACTGAAGTAACTTTGCAACTACTGTACATGTAAACTTATTCTAACCCTAACCCAAGCAGTCTATTAATACTCTACTAACACTAATGAGAGTTAGTAGACATGTACTGTTGGTGCAGATTTATTTATAGTCAACAGAATGTGTTGAAGGGACAATCAAAATTAAGTGAAACCATAATTTGTGTTGATGGCAATTGTGGCAAGCAGGACGAGGCTGAGGGCCGTGAGAACGGGGCGAGGTCTCGCATCTCTCATGAAGGAGCTTCAGAAGCATAAACGGAGAAGCGGCAACAGTGAAGGGTGAGAGAGGCCCAGGCCTGAACTATTTTTTGTTATGTTTTGCTTATGTGTGCGCGGAAGTCGTCCACGAGGGTTTGCCGCTTTTACTTTCATTTTGCATTTATTTATTTATTAAAGTGTGTTAAACGTTCGCCGGTTGCCGCCTCCTCCTTCGTTTATTAACAAACCACGTTACAGCAATGAATCCACCTAATGTAATTCCTACAATGCTGTAAATAGAATTGTTCATATTGTTCACCCTACAGTTTTTTTTGTTGCTTCTCTTGTTGGGGCTGATCAGTGTGACAATGGAAATATTGGTGCATTTATTAACTCTCTTTTTGTTCCAAACTTAATGATAAGTAGGCTTTGTTCATCTGCACAACACAAATGAAGATTTTTATTGGTATGCCATTATTTTTGTCCATCCATTGAAAATCTGTGCAACCCAAAATTCCAAGCTTCAATAAGTATTTTAATGAAGATATGTGAATAAAATTAAATGAAATCTGCTCATCATAAAGTGATGGTATCTCTTCTGAACATTTTGATTAAACCGCTCGATCCTTACGGATTCCTTATATGATGTCTTTATGGTCTTTTTGAAGCTTGATGATTTTGGTTGGACTTTCAATGGATGGACAAAACTAGAGAGAGAAAATTAACTATACATTCCGAGGATGAAGAAATGTCTTACAGGTCTGGAACAACATAAGGGAGACAGACCAAATTTTTTATTTTATTTTTATTTTTATTTTTTTGATGAACTATTCCTCTAAGGAATTTTTAATATAATGGCTTTTAATACTGTATAAGCTATTTGCACTGGGAAAATGGAAACCTACAAATAGATCGAAATGAATCTAAATCAAGTGGCTTTATTAAAGTAAAAATAATAATAATAACATCACAGAAACAACCTATACATTATTATCCTAGGGATTAAACAGGAAGAAATAGCTTTTTAAGGTCATTGGCAGTTATCTCTTTCTACAATGTAGATTTGTATACTTGTATTTATGACTTATTTTGCATCGTAGCCTATCATGCATTTTAGATAGGTTACTGCTAATGTTCATATGACATTATGTACTGTATGTAACAGTGCAGAGTAAACATCACAAAAACTGTAATTGCCATTAACACAATGTGGCCATATAACTAAAGCACCATGTCCATTAAAATGGTGAAAGTTTCAAACTTTGATTTGTTTGCTGTTCAAAGTGCCCAATATTGCACACCGAGACAACAAAATAGTGTCGGCCCAGATATGAGCCACATCTGGTACATGTGGATTCCACCCGTACCAAATGTGGGCCGGATCTGGGCAGACACTATGTTGCTGTTTGGGGACTTCATGTTTGTGAATTTGTTGAAATTCATACTTCCCACAATTAATATTAGCCTACAAAACTACTTTACACATTTGAGATCGCACTACTTAAAGGGTTAGTTCACCCAAAAATGAAAATTAAGTCATTAATTACTCACCCCCATGCTGTACCAACCCCGTAAGACCTTCGTTCGTCTTCGGAACACAAATGAAGATATTTTTGATTAAATTTGAGAGCTGTATAACTACCACATTGGCTCCTAAAGGACTGCCTCTTGGCGGCCCAGAAAGTCAATGAAGAAAATGTTTAAATATCCCAAGTGACTACCGTGGCTCAACTATATGTTTATCAAGCGACGCGAATACTTTTTGTGCGAAAAAACAAACAAAAATAACGAGTTTATTCGACTATTTCTTTTCTTCCTTGTAGGCCAGAACGAGACTTCCTTAGATTTCCACGACGCATGCGCGAGAATTGCGATCTGAAGTGGTGTAAGCTGGTGTGAGCAGATCGCAAATCTCGCGCATGCGTTGTGGAAATCTAAGGAAGTCTCGTTCTGGCCTACAAGGAAGAAAAGAAATAGTCGAATAAACTCGTTATTTTTGTTTGTTTTTTCGCACAAAAAGTATTCGCGTCGCTTGATAAACATATAGTTGAGCCACGGTAGTCACTTGGGATATTTAAACATTTTCTTCATTGACTTTCTGGGCCGCCAAGAGGCAGTCCTTTAGGAGCCAATGTGGTAGTTATACAGCTCTCAAATTTAATCAAAAATATCTTCATTTGTGTTCCGAAGACGAACGAAGGTCTTACGGGGTTGGTACAGCATGGGGGTGAGTAATTAATGACTTAATTTTCATTTTTGGGTGAACTAACCCTTTAAGTGTTTACCACTACTTCATATTGACAGCATACAGTAAAGCTCTTGATGTCGAGTAGATGGCAACTTGCACTCTCATGAATGCCTGTTCAATCTGTTCATTCAGACTAATTTCCTTTTCCTATCTCATTCACTTGCATTCACTTATCGATCCATTCAATCATTGATCAGAAACATTGATCCACCCACTGATCCTTCCAGCCATCCGTCAGCTGCTGACAGGCTTTTAATTGATGAGAAAGCGGGTCAAATTAAGCAATTAGGCCAAACAGGGAAAAACAGACAGATAACTACACCCTGACCAGGTGGAAAGACACCGCCAGAGCAATGATAGGGAGATGCAGAGTGTTTACGCTTTTTCATTTCGCAACGTCGATGAATTTTTCATTGCGATTCATAAAATATCCATCACTATTTTTTACCTGAGGAGAGAATAAAACAGAGGACAAAGAGAAAGAGGGCCCTTATGAATCAAGAGTTCATTGAAGATGCTGATGGTGGGGGGTGAAACGACTAAACCAAACACCTGACAGACAGGGTGGGGGTTGGGGGTAATATCTGGGTGAAAATCAGAAGAGGAAGTGTGGGGAAAGATGGGCCGCTTTGAGGAGGGGTGGCGAAGGCAAAGATAGCGCCACTAACAATAACACCAACAACAGGGAGCGTGATTGGGCGATGCTCATTTTCACTCTGTCAGGAGACGATAGATGATGCCAACCGCTGTCACAGCATCGCTCCACAAATTAGAGGAAATCTATTGTTCAAAACCAAGACAGGTCCCTTGTAGAATTCAGTTTGTTCCCACTTACAACAGCTGCCAAACAGAAGCAGGAACATCTGATTTTACCATCTCATGCCCAGTCAGAACATTCTTAAGTTTCCTATTGAACTTTTGGTCCCTCTTTATATGTTGAGGGACTGTACATTTGTACTTATATTTAAAAATAAATATCTGTAATGACATCTGATGAGCCTTTCCTTACACCTTAAAGGGGTGATGAACTGAGAAATCAATTTTTCCTTGAGCTTTTGACATCTAAGAGGTCATCACATTATAAGAATATCCTGTAAGTTTCAGAACTGAAAACGTCCTTGTTAGTCCAATAAAAGCTTTTATTGACACCAGCCTCAGAAAACGACTCGTTTTTCAAAGTGGGGAACTATGACGTCATACAGGATAAAACACCACCCCCGCAGAAGAAGATCAACGCCTACTTCAACACGGCTCGTTTAGCCCCGCCCACCGATTCGCGCATTTCACGCATAGCTAAATAACATAGATGCCTACCTTGTGATGACAAATCGGATGGAGCTACCGAGCGATACAGAATATTGTGCAGTGCCTGGTTGTGGAAGAAGACAGTCGCTGCATAAGCTTCCTCTGGATTCCAATAGGACTTCATGGATAAACTTTATTTTTAATGACGTTCCAGCTGAGGTAAAACATCGTCCGTCTGTTCGCTTCATTTCACTGAGGATTGTTTTGTAAACAAGACTGGATTTGCAGAGCGATTAAGAGTAAAGAACGGTGCTGTACCGTCTATATTGGATCTGACAGGAATGTTGCAACACACGGAGCGAACTTTTATGGGCGAATCATTCCGGTTAACATTTTACAACATTGGACGTTTTCAAAACAATTTCCCCCAAGTGCATCGACGGGTGAGTTGAAACTTATTATAATATGCAAAACTGTTATCCACTCACAGCAGTGGGCATTTACTTCCAGGTCCTTAGTGCGAGACGCCCATAAAAACTAGCGTTTTTCAGCTAGGCTCAAAACTAGGGTACAAAATAGTGTAAGGATGATAAAATTGATGTAGTAATGATACATTGAATGGGTTGATGCAAGTTAAAAGATAAATAATATTGTTTATAAAAAGGTGCAAGTTAAAAATCTTTATTTTATATCTTAAGGTTAAAGTTAAAATGTTTAAGTCATTGCATTGCTGCACTGTTTGGTTAAAATATTTTAATTCATTTCTTTATAAAACGAGAGGGGAAAGAACATGAATGATCGGTAGATCAGTGATCCATTGCTTTGTGAGTCAAGGAGCTAAATAGGATAAAAAAAGACAATATGTGTTTAAAATGCTTATTTAACTTCTATAACATTTTTGGGTAGTGTTCTTTAATTCACAATATGCTGTGTTTGCTTGTTTATATACGTTTCACTTTCTTTTGCTGTAAGTTTAAGTTCCGGTTTGTGATCAGAGGATCTGTGAACAATTGCTTATGCCTTGTTCAGCCTGTGTACGGAACGCGCGGCTTACATTCGTCCATTACAACATTGGACTTGACTGAAGCCATGGTGTCCGTGTCATATCTTTCTATTTCCCTTTTAACAGGTAAGAAATTGGGCTGTAATATGTTTGAACGATTTATATAAGTGTCTAATACCATAGGGAACATGTAGGGAGTACATTTATAGTTTATAGTAATTGATATATGCACATTTAGCAGGCTAACCGTGAAGTGTTGATCCAGTGTTGCCTGTATGCTAACTATGTCACATGGCCCGAGATTAAAGGCGTGGTGCTAATGTAAAAGTGCAGGCGCCGCCATTTTCTCTGTGTATTTGTTTTATATTGTAGGTAAAAAGGTAAAAGTATTATTGTTAAAGTTTATACAAAAATAGTGTTTAATGTGAAGAGGCAACGTACTTTCTGTGTTAAGTGCAACGTTACTACTGATGTTAAAATGTGTATTCTGAATGAATGACTATAAAACAGTAGTATTTAGCATTACAGAATATTCTATTGTGCTCTTTGTATTTTCCAAGTAATTTACAGGGTTAAGTTAAATCT